GAAGCTAGTTTTTGCTGCTATTTTCATTGAAAGTCGATTAAGTCTTTGTAGCATTACGTGTAAAGTGTTATAGTTGTGCAGATTTTTACTATATAATTTGAGCTGTCAATCTAGTGTTGACAATTTGCTGGATTCGTGTGAAATAATAATAAAAGACACTTGGCATGTTTTCGCTTTCTCACATCAGTGTTGCATTTCAACAAAATGTTTAAATGTGTGTAACATATATCCAAATTGTCAAATTATTCTGACAAAAGACAACTTTCTGTTAGAATAACGTCAATGTTATGGACATCTGCTAAATGAAAATTGATCAAATCCTCCGATTAATTTGAATCAGTAATGTTACGTAAAGCGGGAAACCATTTCTGATGGTCTTCTGCTTCCGCAAACACTTTAATATTTCACAGGAAGCAAAAAAGATTTACACAAGGGTAAATAACTCTTGACAAAATTTAATTATCCCTCTCAAAAAACACATTTTACAGGGCTTTATTTAAAATAACACAAATCCCAATTCTTTGAAGGTCAACTTACATATTTATAACCTCTGTAAAGATTTGATTTGTTGGATTATATCGCTGAGTTTATGAGTTTCAACCACAAATATTAATTTAGGGTAACTTAACTTCTATGGTTAGGCTGAAAATATGCTCCTCCAGCAGATCTGTGTGATGTTCATTTTATTTACCAATGGAGATGAAGATATGTCTTGAAAAATCATTGACATCAATGGACAAAGTCGGATTGCTCTCACGTTTAAGTGTCAATTAAACAATAATATTAATGCGTGTTTGATTTCCGTTCATAATCTGGCAGTGCGGACATTTAAACAATGTGTCTGTTAGTAAAGTATCTAGAATTTTATCTTTGTAGTTTTGGCACATCTTTTACGTATTTATGACGGAATACCCATGTGGACAATTTCCCTATTCATAACTTTCTAACTTCACCACATCACTAGGGCCACAATGGGGAATCAAAGTTTTACATAGAAATATATAAGAAAAATCTTTGAAAATCTTCTCCAGAACCACTTGGCCAGAAAAGCTGAAACTTATATGGAAGCATCCTGGTATAGTGTAGATTCCAAATTATTCAATCATGACCCCCGGGGGAAGGGTGGGGCCACAATGGGGAATCAAAGTTTTATGTAGGAAAAATCTGAAAATCTTCTCCAGAACCACTGGGCCAGAAAAGCTGAAACTTAAGTGGATGCATTCTTGGGTAGTGTAAATTCTAAAATGTAGGAAGCATGACCCCCGGGGAAAGGGCTGGGTATTATAGGGAATCAAAGTTTTACATAGAAATATATAATAAAATCTTTAAAAATCTTCTTCTAAGGGACCACTGGGCCAAAAAAGCTGAAACATATGCGCCAATGGAAGGATCATGGGGTAGTGTAGATTTCAAAATGTTTAAAGTATGATCAGTGGGGTAGTGTGGGGATGCATTATGTATAACAAGGGTGAAATCTGGTCAAGAACAGAATGGTCAAAGCTTCTCATGTGAGCGATGTGGTCCATGGGCCTCTTGTTTTTAATTCAGATCACAATTCTTCTGGGCTCTTTATAGGCTCTATTCCTCAATTTCCCATAATGCAGGGAATAAATTCATCAGGTTTTCCTCAATATGACAACCTAATACTAGTAGTTTTCTTTAAATTATCAAGCATATAACTATATTATTTACTTTTACTGGCTTTCTCTGATTTCTCACAGCTGTACACAAATGCCTATCTTCTTGATAACATGAAAAATATGTAGCTGGTAAATGATAACCCGGTCTACTTTGTTTCAGCAGTGTTTGAATGCAAAATGTTGCCGTATCGTCTGTTATTTGCAAATTGTCAATTGAAAAAATAAATATAAGTTTGTATCCTCTGTCCAGATAGATTGATTGTAAATTGTTTAACGTCCCTCTTGAAAATTTTTCAGTCATATGGAGACGTCACCGATGTCGGTGAAGGGCTTCAAATTTAGACCTATACTCGGCACTCAGGGCCATTGAGCAGTGAGGGTTCTTTATCGTGCCAACGCCTACCGTGACACGGGACCTACGTTTTTAAGGTCATCCGAAAGACCCTTGACTTTCACTTCTAGTGCCGAGACCTTGGCGAAGGAACAGTCACTACCTTTGTTTACGTCTTAGGTATGACGCAGCGCCAAACGCTCTACCACTAGGCTACCGTGAATGGTTGTCCAGATAGAAGAGCAAGTACCATGACCAGTTTCGATGATGGCAATTTCAAACAAATTCGATTTAGGTCTATATTCTTCATCCACTTTAACACTTATGATACATAATATAACAAACTTCAGTAAATCGTGGTAAAGAAGCTTCTTAATTGAATATACCTTTCAAAATCTTTTTACAACTGTGTGTTCACCAATTAACAAAATTTCGTTATCAGCCAAAGTTCCTTCATTTGAATGAGCAGTTAAAGCAGTGTTAATGCCAAAATAGCCCACACTTTTTTTTCAGAAAGTTCCGTATGAAAAACCATAATTTGTTAAATTTGAAAAAAAAAAACCGGATAAATCGTTAGGTTACCACAGAAAACTTGCCATCTCCGTAAATAGCTTCGTATTGATCTCGGTCAGGTTTTCCGGAATTGTCTATTTTAACTGATCTTCTGATCAGTTTATCTACCTTGTCCCATATCTTGTGATTTTGTTCACAATTCGGAATCTCGACGTTTTTCTTTAGTGAACATATAACGGGTGTGTAATGTACATTTCATAACTGTTGAAGATAAAACACTCTCTTATGTGGTTCTGGAATTACATTGACAGTGATGAAGTAGAACCAAAATGTAAGGGTATACCATGAACTATTACTGCACATTATATGAAAAAAAATTATCCACCTCCTGCAAGTGTACGCGTCATAAAAACATGTCTAAACATACTTTGAAGATACTTGGGAAGTTTTAAAAAAAATGATTCGAACAGTTAGAGGAATTCAGATGCGTGGTGCCATTAGAGGACAGTGTTTCCTTGCTTTATAGTTTGTAACTCTGGGGCCATGCCAAATTCACTAGAAATGCACCAAGCGTAGCCACATTACAATGGCAGACGCAAATTTCGTAAATTTGAAAATGCAATTATTCATTCAAGATTAAGAGTATTATGATTTTATTTCAAACACAAGACATTATTTGACTTGAAGCGTCTTAAAAGTCAGCAGCTTGAGACTGAATGAAAAAAAAAGGAATAATGCTTAACAGATTATCTGTGAGCAGAGCAAACACTGACCTCCTGTTACAAAATGTGAAAATACCAGATGTGTTAAGCGTTTGATAATATCGGACGTGTATAAAACAAATAAATTTAGACTGAATGAATGGAAATTATGTGTAGGTATACATATTGTACAAGGACTAGCTCTTGTCTAAGCTTTTGATTTCGGATTAAAAAAAAAACTTTTCTAATTACATGTAGACATATTTTTACTTGGTTTTCCCTTGATTTTGTTTACATGTAACATGAGATAGGAAATGAGTCTCACCTCATCTGCATTTTCCTTGGTAACAGTAACAGGTGCTTGTTCTCCAAGAGATCTGTGAGGTCTCTGGTTATAACTAGTCACTAAATCTTGTAAAACATCAACATAACGGTATGTTTTTTTTTTTTTAGAATTTAATATAAAGTTTTTTATTATATACCAAATCCAGTGGCGGATTTAAGGGGTTTGTTCCCCCCCCCCTTAAATTGTAAAGTTAACGTAAATTGCAGTTACGTCTACAAAATGTTAATATGTGAACTCGGTAGACTTCGTTTTTACCCTGTAAAATCTTTAGAATCCAGGAGCTTCCGAGAAGCCCTCATGGGCCCCCACCAGGGCTTTGCCCTGGACCCACTGCGGGCCTCAAGGTGGCCCCCAGACCCCTTGCCTACTTTTGACGCCCCCTCCAACTTCAAATCCTGGATCCGCGCCTGAAATCAAACACAAGATTTTTTCAAATGTAAATTTATTATGAATTTAAAAGTATTAATCATACATGTACATAAAATTGGAAACATATAAGTTTTACCTTAATCACCTTTTACAAAATAGTTTAAGAGAACTTGTTTAAATTCAATATCACTTTTATTCAGAATCACTGTAAATTGATTTTGAGTGTTGTAAGTCACCAATATTACATTTTACGGACACATCCTTTTTCGGATTCCCATGAAATATTCTGGAGAGGGACGTTATACAGAATACAAATAATCAATCTTCCGGATTATATCTTAAAGGAGTGCACTATAAAAAGAACTTGACATTCAAAGCTGATTTAAATAGGACTCGCTAAACGCACACAGTTCTGTATCATTTAATTCCGGAACACATTCTCGTACCTCTGCAACGACTTGTACCCCGTGGGGACCCGGGTTAGAAAAGGTCCTCTGTACCCCCTTGCTTGTCGTTAGAGGCGACTAAATGGGGCGGTCCTTCGGATGAGACCGTATAAACCGAGGCCCCGTGTCACAGCAGGTGTGGCACGATAAAAAATCCATCCCTGCTTCAAGTCCGTAAGAGCCTAGCATAGGTCCCAATTTGCAGCCCTTCACCGGCAATTGTGCCTTCTCCTATCAGTTTTGGTACATTTGTAACACCCTTTTGTTGCAGAATGTACAAAAAAACGCATAATTTTCTGCTGGCAGGAATATCACATCCTACGTATACACATATCACAGCTAGTATAAATGTTAACGGATTTTGTGGACACTAAAATCTTTTCATAACAAAACCATTCCATGCAGTTCCTAAATCTTATACAAGTGTTTCAATAAATGAATAGGTTCGTGGTTCAGACTTCATATCAGGGATAATGTTTTTTTCATAAATCTTTCATGCCGTGGCAAGTTTAAAAAGAAAGATAAATTGCACCATCAGAGGAATTTGTATATTTGAATCAACATTTAACATGACTCCATTATTTCGTTCCCCAGTTTAATCATGGTCTAAGAAAATGAGCTAACTAGTGATTTGGAAAAACTACATTTCTACACTTGTGCTGCCCCACGGTACGGAACCCGCAGCCAGAATAAACCACTGAACCTCTAAAGTGTTGATTTACTTTATTGGTAAATGATTGGTAAAAAGCTGGAACAAAGAAAATTTGATATAAGAATCAATTAACAAACAGAGAACAAAGTTACATACATATAAAAAAGCATATACAATCCCAATTATGACACAAACTGGTTTCCATACATAAAAAATTTATCAAGCCCCTAGTTTAGAGATTTCTGAACTTAAACACAATAATCTGACCCAAACATATATTCAAGTAATACTGATAATATAAACTTTACATGGACATTAAGAGTCATACACAATAATACTGAATTATATCAATTTAAGAGACTAGATAGCACGAATGAATAAGTCACGTGATCAACAGTAGTAAACAATCTAAATCAATTCCTCTTGATATCAAATTGAAACACAGATAAGAAATGAAATGAGACAAATATCAACTGATTCTCAGTCACTAAATAAATGTCATAACTTACACTGTGGTCAGCTTCAGGAAACAAAAACGTGAACACATATTGCTTCGCCGGAAGCGCATGTACCCCGCTAGCACATGGGGAAAGTCAGGTATGGAAGCCGTGGCGGAACACTCCCCGCCTGATATCGCAGATATCAACTAAGTTTCAGATATCAAGAGAACAACTTGGTTCACTGGTCGAACATATTCTGTAGGTTTTCCATCACGTATGATGCGGACTTCTATCTTTCGTACTTTTCCATCCGATCCAGGAAAGGTTCTCGTCACAAGACCCATGGGCCAGTAAATTCTGTTCTGTAACTCATCCTTCACAAGAACGACATCACCAACGTGCAGATCTTTGTTGTTTGTCTGCCATTTTCGCCGCTCCTGAAGTGTCTGGAGGTATTGTTTCTTCCATTTGGACCAAAAGACATCTGCCAGGTACTGCACTTTTTTCCACTGAAACTTATACGAGTCTTTTTCGTCAAACGAAAGCCCAGCTGGAACAAGGACGTCTGACTTTTGTGTGAGAAGCAAAGATGGGCTTAGATGATAAGGATCTTCTGGATCAGATGACACACCAACAAGCGGACGAGAGTTGATAATCGCAGATACCTCAGCTAAGAAGGTAGTAAGGACTTCATGCGTCAATGCTTTTCCAGGCGTTCCAAGAAGCATGACATCCAGAATTCTGCGCGTAACCCCTATCAGCCTCTCCCACACGCCACCCATGTGGGAAGCGTGAGGAGGGTTAAATATCCAAACTACTCCGCTGTTAAACAGGAAATCCTTGACAGGTGGTGCCTCTACCTTAACTGCGTCCATGCAGAGATCGTCTGTAGCGCCAATGAAATTCGTACCACGGTCAGATCTAACAATCTTAACGGGTCCCCTGATAGCCGTAAAACGCTTAAATGCATTTATAAAGGATGACGAACTAAGCTCTTCGATGACTTCTATGTGTACCCCACGAGTAGAGAGGCATGTGAATAGAACCGCCCATCTCTTGGAGTTAGCTGCTCCGCCCTTCGTGCGTCGTGTTACAACGGACCATGATCCGAACACATCCACGCCAACATTCGTGAAAGGAGGTGCTGGCTCCAAACGGTCTAAGGGAAGGTCGGCCATCTTTTGGTGTTCTACTTGTCTTCGTAGTTTACGGCATGTCACACAGTGGTAGATGATGGTTGAAACCAATCTTTTCCCACCCAAGATCCAGAATCCTGCCATGCGGACTGTCCCTGCGGTGATATGCCTACCTTGATGCTTGCACTTTTCATGATAGAATCTGACTAACAAAGTTGCAATGTAATTTCGACTTGGAATGATAACTGGATTTTTCTCACTTTGCTGAATGTTGCTTAGGTTAAGACGACCCCCAACTCTTAGGAGACCATCGGCACCAATGAAAGGATCCAATTTTCGCAGCTGAGTATTCCTCGGAAGAGGTTCATGTCTTTCAAGACACTGAAGCTCTGTGGAAAAAGACTCCTGTTGTACACATCTGATTATCATGCTTTCAGCTTCCTTGTATGAATCGACATTCTGAGTCTCAGCACAAAGATGCCATCCTTTACACTTCCTCGCAGCAGTGAAACTTTGGGCGATGTGTTTCAGTTTACACATAATCTCGACAAGTCTGGTCCACTGAGAAAACTGTCTAAAACGGTGTGAACCCAAAAGCTTGGTTTGGGATTCTAGTATCTCTGTCTTTCTACATGACACAACTGCTAATGGTCTGATTTCTTTGTCTGAGTCTGGGTTTTGTAGGTCAAAGGGTTCAAATTGGGTTCTGATGTTCTCTCGAAGATGAGATGGTCCAAGTAGCCATGTGCTTGTTGAAAGTTCAGATGCTGCAATAGATCTTGTTGCTAGGTCAGCTGGGTTACTATCCGTAGGTACATAAGTCCACTGCTTTGGTGAGGTTACTTGATGAATGCGGGCAACTCTATTGCTCACGTAGGTGTAAAATCTCCTAACTTGGTTATGTATATATCCCAGTGTGACTTTACTATCTGTATACATATGAAAACTATGCAGAGGAATGTCGAGGTGATCCCTGATGCACTGAACAATTTCTGTTGCCAACACTGCCGCACACAGCTCCAACCTCGGAATTGTGTGACCATGAGAAGGGGCTAATTTGGCCTTTCCAAGCAAGAATCCAATTTCTTCTCTTCCATCTGTACTACCTGTTTTTATATAAGCTACGGCAGCTATTGCCTTTTCTGAGGCGTCAGAATAGACATGGATGGATTTTTCGGGACAATCTCTGATAGATGAACTGGTGTAGGTTCTTGGGACTCTGACTTGTTCTAAAGCGGCAAGCGAGTTTTTCCATTTCTGCCATCGTTCCTTATGATGATCTGGAAGGGGCTCATCCCAATCAATCGACTCTTGAACCAAGGCCCTTAGTAACATTTTCCCCTCGATAACTACTGGTGTGAGAAATCCAAGTGGGTCGAAAATGCTGTTAATCGTACTGAGTACTCCTCTGCGTGTGAATGGTTTCTCATCTGCTGAAACCAGAAACAAAAAAGAATCACTGTTGAGGTTCCAACATATTCCAAGGCTTCGCTGTACGGGAAGCTCCTCTGCACCAATATCGACATCCTCTAGACCCTTTGCGAGGTCTCTTGATTCAAAAGAGTTCATTACAGCTCTGGAGTTGGACACTATCTTATGAAGGCGCAGATTACCTTCAATCAGAAGTGCTTGTTGTGTCCTCTTGATCAGATCAACAGCAGATGCCTCTTCACAAAGAGATGTTAAACCATCGTCGACGTAGAAGTCTCGTTCTACAAACAATTTCACATCTTCTCCAAAGGCTTTGGAACTGATCCCTGCAACTTTCCTAAGACCATAGGTGGCTACTGATGGCGAAGGGCTGTTGCCGAACACATGGACTTTCATTCTGTATTCTGCCAAGTCCTCCTCGGGATTATTATTACGGTACCAAAGAAAGCGGAGATAGTCCCTGTGTTCCTCTTGTACTCTAAAGCAGTAAAACATTTGCTCCACATCAGTCATGACAGCAACTGCGTCTTGCCTAAATCTCATGAGAACGCCCAACAAACTGTTCGTGAGGTCTGGACCAGACATAAGAACATCATTGAGGGATATTCCACCATGCTTTGCTGAAGAGTCGAACACTCCCCTGATCTTATCTGGCTTTCTTGGGTGATAAACCCCAAAGACTGGGAGGTACCAATATTCTTTTCCGTCCGAAACAGGGGGTGCCAATTCCGCATGTTTGTATAAGATGTTACTCATGAACTCAAACATGTGTCTTTTCTTTACGGGGTCCCTCTCCATGCTGATATGAAGACTTTTGGCCCGCTTAAGGGCCTGTGTTCTGTTGTTTGGAAGCCTTTCTCTATCCTGTCTAAATGGTAAGGGGGCTGTCCAAAAACCATCTACATCTCGTGTGAAGTTTTGGTCCATAATTTCAAGAAATTTCCTATCCTCCGATGATAGTCCTGGCTTCTCATCTGCATCTGTCCTATCAAACACTGACTGACCAAAGTTATCTGAAGATCTCTCCTTCAAATTAAACTCATTTTGGCATGGTTTGAGTAAAGATGCTCGTCCATTTGAGAGAATATAGGTTTTGTTTACTTGAATGGTCTTGGGCTCATGTGCTCCCCCAAGGCAAGTTTCTCCAATCATAGTCCATCCCAAAGGGAGCCTTTGGGCCAATGGGCTGTTTTCTGGTCCTATTCTTTGCTCTAGCACGTAGTGTGCTTCCAGGAGATCTCTTCCAATCAGCAATAAAATCTGCACATCTTCATCCAGTGAAGTGAAGTGTCTTGCAATATCAGCCAAGTGAGGATAGCTTGCAGCAACATCCGAAGTAGGTATTTCTTCCCGATCGTTAGGAATGTGATCGCATTCTATCACGGTCGGCAGTGCCAGCTGTTTACTTCCATCTAGTGATTCCACCATGAATCCAAAGGCCTTTCTTCCAGATGTATTAATACGTCCCATGCATGACGCTAATGTGTACTCTGTGACTCCGTCGTGGACGCCAAAATAGTCAAAGAACTCTGGACTGGCGAGTGAGCGATTGCTTTGATCGTCAATAATCGCATAGGTTTTTAAGTATATTTCTGGATTGTCTTTCCTGAAAACTCGTACCAATACAGTTTTCGCACACGACTTTCCTTGAAACGTATCCTTACAGATCTGGGTGCAAGCAGAGTTAACACTCAAGGCTGGAGCTTCAATGTTTTTCTCCCCGCCATAATTTGTCAAGGGATGTGGATTTCCACTAGAACTGCTAGCTTGCTTCTTGTCTGGATGAAGTGCCGTTGGGTGATTACCGCTGGAACACTCCTCACAGGAAACTGTTTCCTTGCAGTTGCGCCTTAAGTGTGTTGTTGAAGAACAACATCGGAAGCATATCCCCTTCTCTTTTAAAAACTTTCTACGCTCTTCTAAACTTTTGTTCCTAAAGGCACGGCATTTGTTAAGAGGATGGTTGGCATTGTGAAGTTGACAATGACTACTTTCATCAGTCTTCTTCGATCCAGATTTTGTTTCCTTATCTAGCCCTTTCGATGCTGGACTCATCTCAGTTTTTAGTATGGTTACCCTTGGTACCCTGCCACTGTCTTTTGTGAATTTGTTCTCTTTCTGACACATTCCTGAAGTCACTGGGTCATATTTGAAACTTGGATTGTTCTTTGTGCTACTTAACTTTCGAACAAATTCTGCGAAAAATGTAAAAGGTGGGTATAGAACACCATTCTTTTCAATGTATTTGATAGCAGTACTTGTCCATTTTTCTTGAAGATTGGGCGGGAGTTTGCCCACAATGGGTGAAACACCAGATGATGAATCATAATAAGCTAAGACACTTCGATATTTCGGATCCTCCATAACGGACTCAATCTCGGTAAGTACATCTGCTAAGTCGTATAGCATTTTGTAGTTTTTTGTTATTCTTGGGAAAGAGTTAAGTTTCTCTTTTAACGCTGACTCCACCATTTCCGCAGCACCAAAGCGTTCCTCCAAACGGTTCCAGATACGACGCAATCCTCTTTCTGGGTTGGAGATGTTTGCCATTTTGAGCGTCAGGGCATGTTTCTGTGAATCAGGACCTAGCCATTTGACTAAAAGGTCTATTTCTTTGTTAGGCTTAACCCCGAGTTCTCTCATGACAGTCTGAAAGCTGCTTTTCCAAGAAGCAAAGGATTCGGGCCTGTCGTTAAAGTTAACCAGGCGTGTAAGTAGCAGGTCCTTTTTCAACAGAAATTTTGTGAAGTCGGAGGCAGGGTTATTAGGGTTAGGAACATAAGGAGAAGCCTCAGGGTTCAGCATATAGCAATTTCTGTCTTGCAGATCTTTAGTGTTTGGATTCGTACAAACTGCATTGACTTGCTGGACTTCTAATTGTGAGATTTCCGATTCACGAGTCTTATCTTCTGTGTCTTTTGAGAGTTGCTCAATGTACTTCTCTGTCCTTAACATAGGGTCATCCTTTGGTAGCGAATGAATGGATGAGTGTTTTGATGATGAACGAGAGTGCTCAGATTCTAGAAAATCAGCTTCTGTCTTAGTTTCTGCAGCCTTTCGCTTGAGAGTCAGGAGTTCGAGTTCAGCATCTATTTCGGCCTTCTTACGAGCTGCGGCGGCTTTCGCTGTAGCTTCCTCCAATAAGTGTTTTTCTATTAAGCGTGCTTGATCTTTCCTCAGCTCAGCTCTTCGAATAGCAAATTCCAAGCTCACTTTAGCAGCTTCAGCTTTTGCTCTTTTCCTGGCCAGTATTGAAGTGTTCTGTGAGGATAGAGAAGGAATATCATTGAAAGAATGATCAGATTGTTTCTCATACTTGTGTAAGTTTCTATCCTCTTCTTGTGCCTCAGTAAGTAAACTTTGAAGTCTAGACTTGGCATTTTCAATTAGGAGACAATATCCAGATTGTAGGAATTCGAACCCTTTCAATTGATGAATGCTCTCTTCTGTGTTGGTTCTTCTGAGAAAATCCAAAAGGTCTTTTGTCTGATCAGCATGTTTATCACTGTAGAATTTTAGTCTATCCTGCAATTCGGTCAATGTCTGTGCGTCCTTTTCGCATGAATCAATAGATTTGATGATGGAGTCAACCTTTGTCCATGCACCAGATAAGCGTGCAGCTCGATCATCAAGTTGTTTTTTGTAGTATTCCTCCCCTTTTTCTGTATGGTTCCTGAGTGTTGCCATTTTTGTAAGTACGCTGGTTAAGTCTTTTTACTGTGCTGCCCCACGGTACGGAACCCGCAGCCAGAATAAACCACTGAACCTCTAAAGTGTTGATTTACTTTATTGGTAAATGATTGGTAAAAAGCTGGAACAAAGAAAATTTGATATAAGAATCAATTAACAAACAGAGAACAAAGTTACATACATATAAACAAGAGGCCCATGGGCCACATCGCTCACCTGAGAAGCTTTGGCCATTCTGTTCTTTACCAGATTTCCCTCTTGTTATACATAATGCATCCCCACCCTACCCCACTGATCATAATTTAGACATTTTGAAATCTACACTACCCCATGATCCTTCCATGGGCAAATATGTTTCAGCTTTTTTGGCCCAGTAGTTCCTGAGAAAAAGATTTTTATTATATATTTCTATGTAAAACTTTGATTCCATATAATGGCCACGCCCTTCCCCCAGGGGTCATAATTCCTACAATTTAGAATTTACACTATCCCAGTATGCTTCCACATAAGTTTCACTTTTTCTGGCCCAGTGGTTCTTGAGAAGAAGATTTTCAACGATTTTTCCTATATATTTCTATATAAAACTTTGATTCCCCATTCCCCCTTCCCCCTTCTCCCAGGGGTCATTATTTGACCAATATAGAATCTACACTATACCAAGATGCTTCCACATAAATTTTAGCTTTTCTGGCCCAATGGTTCTTGAGAAGAAGATTTTCAAAGATTTTTCCTATATATTTCTATGTAAAACTATGATTCCCCATTGTGGCCCTGCCCTTCCCCCGGGGGTCATGATGTGAACAATTTAGAATCTACATTATACCAGGATATGCTTCCACATAAGTTTCAGCTTTTCTGGCCCAGTGGTTCTTGAGAAGAAGATTTTCAAAGATTTTTCCTATATATTTCTATGTAAAACTTTGATTCCCCATTGTGGCCCCGCCCTTCCCCCAGGGGTCATGATGTGAACAATTAAGAATCTACACTATACCAGGATGCTTCTACATAAGTTTTAGCTTTTCTAGCCCAGTGGTTCTTGAGAAGAAGATTTTCAAAGATTTTTCCTATATATTTCTATGTAAAACTTTGATTACCCATTGTGGCCCCGCCCTTCCCCCAGGGGTCATGATGTGAACAATTTAGAATCTACATTATACCAGGATATGCTTCCACATAAGTTTCAGCTTTTCTGGCCCAGTGGTTCTTGAGAAGACGATTTTCAAAGATTTTTCCTATATATTTCTATGTAAAACCTTGATTCCCCATTGTTGCCCCGCCCTTCCCCCGGGGGTCATGATGTGAACAATTTAGAATCTACATTATACCAGGATGCTTCCACATAAGTTTCAGCTTTTCTGGCCCAGTGGTTCTTGAGAAGAAGATTTTCAAAGATTTTTCCTATATATTTCTATGTAAAACTTTGATTCCCCATTGTGGCCCCGCCCTTCCCCCGGGGGTCATGATGTGAACAATTTAGAATCTACACTATACCAGGATGCTTCTACATAAGTTTAAGCTTTTCTAGCCCAGTGGTTCTTGAGAAGAAGATTTTCAAAGATTTTTCCTATATATTTCTATGTAAAACCTTGATTACCCATTGTGGCCCCGCCCTTCCCCCAGGGGCCATGATGTGAACAATTTAGAATCTACATTATACCAGGATGCTTCCACATAAGTTTCAGCTTTTCTGGCCCAGTGGTTCTTGAGAAGAAGATTTTCAAAGATTTTTCCTATATATTTCTATGTAAAACCTTGATTACCCATTGTGGCCCCGCCCTTCCCCCGGGGGTCATGATTTGAACAATTTAGAATCTACATTATACCAGGATGCTTCCACATAAGTTTCAGCTTTTCTGGCCCAGTGGTTCATGAGAAGAAGATTTTCAAAGATTTTTCCTATATATTTCTATGTAAAACCTTGATTCCCCATTGTGGCCCCGCCCTTCCCCCGGGGGTCATGATGTGAACAATTTAGAATCTACATTATACCAGGATGCTTCCACATAAGTTTCAGCTTTTCTGGCCCAGTGGTTCTTGAGAAGAAGATTTTCAAAGATTTTTCCTATATATTTCTATGTAAAACTTTGATTCCCCATTGTGGCCCCGCCCTTCCCCCGGGGGTCATGATTTGAACAATTTAGAATCTACATTATACCAGGACGCTTCCACATAAGTTTCAGCTTTACTTGCCTGGTGGTTCTTGAGAAGAAGATTTTTTAATGACCCAACCCTATTTTTGTCTTTTCTCGATTATCTCCCCTTGCGAGGGGATGTGTCCCTTCATTTTAACAATTTAGATTCCCCTTCACCCAAGGATGCTTTGTACCAAGTTTGGTCAAAATTGGCCCAGTGGTTCTTGAGAAGAAGTCGAAAATGTAAAAAGTTTACAGACGGACGGACGGACGGACGGACAGACAGACGGACGGACGACGGACAAAATGTGATCAGAAAAGCTCACTTGAGCCTTCGGCTCAGGTGAGCTAAAAAGCATATACAATCCCAATTATGACACAAACTGGTTTCCATACATAAAAAATTTATCAAGCCCCTAGTTTAGAGATTTCTGAACTTAAACACAATAATCTGACCCAAACATATATTCAAGTAATACTGATAATATAAACTTTACATGGACATTAAGAGTCATACACAATAATACTGAATTATATCAATTTAAGAGACTAGATAGCACGAATGAATAAGTCACGTGATCAACAGTAGTAAACAATCTAAATCAATTCCTCTTGATATCAAATTGAAACACAGATAAGAAATGAAATGAGACAAATATCAACTGATTCTCAGTCACTAAATAAATGTCATAACTTACACTGTGGTCAGCTTCAGGAAACAAAAACGTGAACACATATTGCTTCGCCGGAAGCGCATGTACCCCGCTAGCACATGGGGAAAGTCAGGTATGGAAGCCGTGGCGGAACAACACTGTTTCAATGTTTGTACACCTTCAACTACTTTTATATAATCTTCGAATTCATAAGTGCATAACATTTTGGAAAAACAACTAACTTTCTGAAATCATTCTTTTTCAAAAGATATAAACTTGTTGAGTTGGTACAGGGTTGATCGGAATTTTTTAACAACTCTGAAGCATATTCAAAGGTAGTGGATCTTAAACAACGATAGCAAATATTTAAAAGTTCGATCCTATACATAAAAAAAAATTTGCCATCTGAGAAACACTAAAAATAAAATACACTAAATACTGATCACAAGTTACACTTGTCGTTTCATCATCTGATGAATAATCATCGGATTCATCCTTTAACAAGCTATCCACAAATAAAAATTCTTCCTCATTTTCAGAGGAGTCTGAAAATTTTTCATAAAAGCACACAGATCCTGAATATTCTTCGATTCTGAATATTGACGCAAATTTACATTATCACAAGTGCCTTGATCTTTTGCACCAGCGCTTCCTAAAGACAACGTTTGTTTTGCAGGCTCCGTTACTACAGTTTCATCAATTTGGATACATTTATGTCTACCTAAATGCCTTGCAGTGTACCATAAATATTTTACTTTTGTTAACTTTAATTAACTTTGACACTTTGATTTACTATAAAACTTTTCTCTATAGCTTTTTTGAAGATTTGAAGCCTTAATATATCTTAAATTATACAATTATGTACTTTTTTGATAAAGTATGTAAAAATACAACGCAGCATAGTTAAGGTTACAAAAAGGAGGCGGAGCCTAATTTGTACGGGAAAACTTGACTATGACATCATACACAATATACGTCATACAACATTTCTTTAAAATACCACAAAATGAGTTCATCTGTTAATTTGACCAGTAAGAAATAAACAAACTACATAAAAATTTACCACAGCGTGTTTTTTTGTCGTCAGTTAAGTCCGACATAACAAGTTATTAACAAGTCACTGATCGCAATACACTTGTCAATATGACGTCATTTCTTACAACGTGACGTAGTTTGTATGCAGTGAGAGACAGATAAAGTAATATTTTCTCAACAAAATACGTACACTCTAAATAAATATAATATTATTTACAAATATTCTATAGGCCAATAACTTGATTTTAATGTCTTCTTCACTATTATATATATATATATTCTATACATTACTTATTTGACACTGTCGTATATTTGTATGCAAGTACAGCGGATGGTAAGGTGGGGGGTCTTAATAAATCGATCTAGTGCAAGGGCATACACTCTATGGATCAAAGTAAGCTTTTACATTTTAACTTTAGAACTATTAAGGTATTTGAAAAGTACTGCGATCCTGCTGAAATCTTAAAAACAATTTAATTATATCAATAATTCATGCCGCTGACCAGCAAAAAATACAGCATTCGGTCATTCAAGTTAAATTTTAACAATGAAATTGCAGAATTTAGGCAGGATCGCAGCACTCTTTAGAAACTACAATGCGTGTTGAAAATATTTATGTACTTAACTTGGAAATTTAACTAATAAATAAATAATGTACTAAAAATAATCGCCATCCCGATTACGAATACATTTTTAAAAACAAAATTTAGTCAATATTTCCATTGCGCACCTTTACTGTACTGCGAAGCAATCGTCAATATTTACTTTCCCTGTGTTTTTCTAGTAAGCTTACTGTGAAATTGATTTGTAAACATTTTCGTGTATATACTCACGCGTAGAAATATATACGGAGAAACGTGCGTTAACGTGACGTCACAATGAGAATGCAGCGACGTTAGTAAAAAGCAATTATATAGGACAGCGAGAAATTCAAATATTGAGTATATTTTGGTTGAATCAAAACAGGTAAAATGTAAATATAAGGAATGTTTTTCAGTTTAGTGTGAATTATTGGGTGTGAATCACACAGACTTGCTCATAGGCATATTTTTTAGTGCGATTCATGAAATATGCCTACGTGACAAGTCTGTGTGATTCACACACCAATAACTCACACAAAACTAAAAACCATTCCTTAATTATAGTTTGTAAAACGATTCATGATGAGATCTTTCTTGAGCAGAAAGTTGTGAAAGTCAGATGTTTGTGTGTTTTTTATCACTACATTTTTAGTAGTTGGCTTTGACTGTATATGGTAATTTGGCACACTGGGAACCAATGTTGGTAGTTCATAGTCAAACGGGTTAACGGGTTTTGGACCGGTGTTCATTACTCTGCTTACATACGGTTCTGCTTTTAAAACCTG